GAGCGTGTGCGTGCATGCTTGCGTGTGTGGGTGTGTGGGTGCGTGTGTGTACGTTTGTGGTATGGGGGTTGGGAGCTCACTGACGTACCGACATACATACACACACACACGCACATCGCACACCTTCCTTCCCTTCCCCTCACCCTCCCTCAGCAACGCCAAGATTCCCCTCCCTGCCCCTCCCTGCCTCTCGCTCATGCGATTATACCCCACCCCAACCCCGTTCCAAACACGCCCCACACCTCTCTCTCTCTTTCTCTCTCACACACACACAGGCCATTGACGAGCTGCGGTACGGCGTGGTGGCTGTCAACGCCTGGGCTGCGGTCTCCGTGGGTCTGGGGTCCTGCACCTGGGGGGCCTTTGCCGGCGACCAGACCGTGGCCGATGTGGGGTCGGGGTTGGGGCTGGTGGGCAATCCGTACCTTGTGGAGGGCGTCCAGAAGGCCGTGTGTAGGATGCCCCTGGAGGGCCAGGCGGTGCCCCGGCCCCCCCACCTGATGCCGCTCACGCTGGGGCTGATGCGGGCACTGTGTGGGTTCATGGTGAGCGGCTGGTGGGGCTTGGTACGGGCGGCTGCGCCGCAGCTCCGATTGATATATGGTGGCAAGTGATAGGACGTGGGGGGGGAGAGGGAGAGTGAGATTAATGAGGGGTGGAGGGAGCGGGAGCAGGAGAGGGTAGGGGAAAGCGGATATTGCGGTGGGGAATGTGAGGTGTGGTAAACGGGGGAAAGTGTGGGGAGGGGGGTGAGAGCTTGCTCTGTTCTTTGCTGGCTGGTCAGTGATGTGGTGAGGGGGAGTGCGTGTGAGAATGAGTGATGAGTTTGGGTGAGTGAGCGAGTGATGACCCTGGTAATACTCGCTGTGCGCTTCATTTAAAGAGGTGTGTGTGCATATGTATGCATGTTTTGAATGTTTTCTTCTCCAAATCCGTCAGTTTATGTCGCCAATGTTGCAACATCAGACGAAGATAGTTCTTTTGTGTGAAAAGTTCGTCACTTAAAGTGTTCGAATGCCGCCTAGAGGTGCTCTTCTTGAGTTGCGCTACTTTGTGAAGTCCATAAGTGAAATTGTGAGAATTGGGTAAGGCGGCTGCTGGTGGAAATGGCTTCTGGTATGTATGTATGTATGCATGTATGCATACATGCGTGCGTGTCTTGAAGTCTATGTTATTTGATTGGGAAATGGAAGAATTAAAGAGCGTGTGTGATCGACATTCTGGAGAGCAAAGAGATTGTTGAAGATTGCTGTCAATCTCAACTCGTGCTGGTGAAGGGCCTCCTGGGGGCCGCCGTCGTGTTTTTCACAGTGCTGCCAACCCTGAGTGAAGAGATCTTGAAGAGATGAAGTATACTAGGGGGGTTAAGGTGATGATGGTGGTAACCATGATCATGATCACGGTGGTGCTGGCTGAGAGAGAGGGATGAATGAGAGCGTTAGGCCGAAGAAGACCCAGGACAGGGGGGGGGGCGGAGGCGGAGAGGGAAGCGCGAAGGGGAGACGGGAAAGGGGGAGGGGTTGGCGGGAAGGTGTTGTCTGTCACCTGCCGTGCCATGCTGTTCCTCTGTCATACACAGAGCAGCACGCATGCATCCTCCTCCATTACTTCTTTTACTATTTCTTCATCAACATATTGACTGACTTATTTTATTATTTCTCCATCAACATATTGTTGCAGGTTAATCACATGGTTGGGTTTTGGTGATGTTGTTGGTACCTGTGTTGTACCTGGGTCGGTCCATGTCGTCCGTGCAGGTTAGAAGTCGTCTGTGTTGGTGATATGGCAGCGATGATGATGACGATGATGATGATGATAAGCTGCGAAATTGGGGAGGGGGCAGTCGAGCTGGTTTCGGGGAAACCCCACGGGGCTCTCTCACCTCCCCCTCCGCCCCCCAAAGTCGCCCTCCCCAACCCCGAGCTTCACTCGTCTGTGGTTCGTCTTTCCCGCCAACCTGGCCCCAATCAGCCAGGGGAAGAGCAAACCCCGCCTCTTACCAGTACAACACAATACAGATGGAAGTGGGGGTGCGGGGCGGCTTTGCCGTATCCTATGAGGGGAAGCTCCCTGAGGAGGTGCAGGTGGGGGCCGGCGGTTCATTGGAAGAAAGGACATGGGCTCGCGGGGAGTTGATGATTCCTCGGCGAAGTGACGACGAAGTTATGCTGAGCGCGGCGGGCTACATCGTGTTCAAGTTTCCTTTGATCTTTGAGGCCGGAGGGTTCGCGACTGGAAGACTGGGTCCTGGTTGAGGGGCGCAAGTCATCGTGCTTAAGGAAAAACTGATCCGAGTCGATTTAAGGGGTGCGGCCCCGCTCGTTTTCCACGGCGGTGGTGTTAATATGTAGTGTGCTGATACGCGCTCTTCCCCCGCTCCTCCCCATAACAGTATTGCAGACCACAGTTTGTCACCACTGTTTGGCACTGTTTGCCGTCCGCGGTGGCGTCAGGAATGTCCCCACATGCGTGTCTTCACATGAGCCAGTGGCACACACACACACACACACAACATATATATACATATGAACATATGTACATACATACAAATGACTCGCTGGACACATGATCGATCTGGAGTCCTCTCTCTCTCTCCGCCGGCTCGCCTGTACGTACTTTTATGGCCGTTTAACCATCTTGACTCTGATGGTTATGGTAACGTTGCAGCCACCATCAAAGCCACATCGCATCGGGGGCCGAGCAGATCCGATGCCGTCAAGTCGACAGCCGCAACGGTTCAGATTTCGATAAGTTCGAGACACACACAGACACACACACACACAGACACACACACACACACACACACACACACACACACACACAGACACACACACACACACACAGACACAGACACACACACACACAGACACACACACACACACAGACACACACACACACACAGACACACACACACACACACACACACACACACACACAGACACACACACACACACAGACACACACACAGACACACACACACACACACACAGACACACACACACACACAGACACACACAGACACACACACACACACACACAAGCGGGGACGTGGACGCACACACGTGCAGCTTCTCGAACCAAGCTTGCTCACCGGCGGTTACCGCTGCTCGTATTGGTGACCTGCTGCGTCCATCTGCACATCACCCTTACTGTCACCCGTATTTCTTGACGCGTTCACCGCAGCATCACACGCGCTGTCTTCGGTGGACGATGCTACGTCCCGTGTTTCGAATGCACCCTCCTTTCCACCCCCGAAAACTACGGCGCATTGATACCATTCTCCTTTTTAACCTGCCTACCTGCAAGGTGGGGATGTAGCTCCCCAGGGGTTGGAAGCTACGAAACTAGCAGCGGGAACATGCGGGAGGCGAGTTGAAACTGTGTAATCACACATGTATACATGTGTGGGTGTGAGGTTCTTTAGTACCGTGTGCAATGTGACCGATATGATGTGGCCGACCGATATGCAGCTGGCCGGCACGCATATCCCGAACTCTCAGCTGCCTCCTTAGCTGACGTGTGTGCGCCAGTGCCGAGCGGAAACCAGTGGACAAGTGTGCGACACAAGCGAGTGCAGCACTGCGCTAAAATTGTCGAGGTAACAAAATGATGCGGGAGGGGGCTTTTAACCTCCCGAAAGTTAACAAGTGGCTGGCAGAGGTTAAGGCCTGACTTCTGCTCCCGGAGTGTCCGGGTTCAAATCGGGTGTGTGAGGGGTGATGAAATTGGAGGTGGGCCCGCATCTTGTGGACGGTGTAGGACGTGATAAAAAAAACTTGCGAGCTCACCAGGAACTAAGTTGAGGCGCTGTTGATCCGCTAGATTTGGCTGGATGTTGGTGGTGAGTTGCCAAACGCAAAGAGTACACTCTGAAGTCGGATGGGGTGAACGGATTAGGGTTAAAAAAGTTAAATAAATGGGGACCCAGCAAAAGTCACAGCTCAACCTAAAGATGTCGTACTGCTTACACTGCACCACTACGCTACGGCAAATAGCATTCTGTCGATTCAACAAGCCAGGGAATCGGACACATACAAAAAAGCGAGGAGCAGCAGCAGGTATGTGTACGCCTCGATGAACTGCAATGGGAAACAGGAACTTCGCTGTGACCACGGCGGGAAATTGGAGGAGACGAACAACCAACAAGTTTGTACGGAACATCTGTACTTAATAATAATAAACACAAACTCCGAAAGGGCTTTCATCATCCACCTTCCATCGCCTCAAATCGTTGTGCCTGTACCACTTTTCAAGTCAAAACAACTGTGTCTGAAATTGACATCATACCCAGTCCAGCATCACCCACTCCTGCAACGCCCAGCTCTATCCACAACCCTCCATGGCTTCTCCCTAGGTAAAAAAACAAAGTAAGGGACACAAAATCGCCGTACTCTGCCGTACCGGCAACAGCCTGCAATGCTTCAGCATTTGATACAACGACCACAACGACCACGATGGACGAGCGTTCGCGCCATTCGCAGCAAATGACAATAACTGGCCCTACTGCCTGAAAGGCGACAGACACAAACCTGGGACCGCAATATCAGTTTCTGCATGATGTGACACGACGAGAAAAGCCTCGATCTTTCTCTTCTCCTGCAGTGCCTCCAAAGAGCACCGGCACAGAGCCTATCTTTAGAGCGGTCCTCTGAAGCTCAGCAGCAATAACAGCTATTACAAAAACAGCAGTAGTGAAAACAGCAGAGCACCTTAAACACCGGGAAAATATAGATTCCAATATCGCGAACACGCAAACAGGCAACACACACACCACGCGCATGAAGATGCGACTCGAGCAGCACACATGAAAGGGCACCAATCGTCAACACGCACGCTTCAGGCGTGCGACGTTGCGGGCGGCGAGGAGCGCCAGCCCAAAGCAGGAAACAGCGAGAAAAAACGGTATGGTGGTTTTACATGTTGCGGGTACTGTGGCGCGAGAAACAACACAGCAAGCACGAAAAAGCAATAACAGCTATAGCTACAGTAATTAGCCAAAACAAACCACTCGCAAAACGCAAAACGAGGTCGAGGAACACGACTCGAAACTGCTGCCACTTGGCGGGAAAAAGGAAAAGAAGATTTGGAACATTCGGATTACTTGTCGAAGAAAGGGTTCGTATGGCGCCGCGTCGAGCCGACGGAAAACTGCCATTATGCAGATCTTACCTATCTATCCACATCGGTATACATCTCCTATTAACATTTTTATGTGTTTACTTGACCATCATTGACCATCATCACCACCACCATCAAAAGCACCAACAGCATGGCGCACAACTGATATACTGCATTCGCTCATAATAACGAACGGGGTTTATGCGACCCCAGGTACACCCAAACGATCCAACTGCTATATATATGCGCTTTTTGGTATATTTTGCTGTAATGTAAATCTCTCTGTATATCTACCTCTCACTAAATCTCTGCCACCGCCAAGATCTGATGCCAATCTACATACCGGTCGCAGGTACAGAGACATCTGTCAGCCACCAACTGGGCAGAAACATCGCCCATCGATTAGACTCTACACTGCCGTACACAAACCTGACCTTCGACACACTGCTCTCAAGCCCTCCTTTTATTTTTCAACTCTCTGGGATTTCACCACCGGGCGGACAAAGGCCTTCAACAGCTCCTACTAGGCGGCCCGAGATTTCGAGATTTCTCTTGGCGAATAAAGCCACTGCCCATGACGGGCGTGTGGTGGTGGTATCCGACTACCGTCATCCATGCACTCCATGCACCGTGCCAGAGCGCCAGGAGGGCAGGGCCACCTGCGGCGCCAAAGGCACCGCTGAGAGAGAGAGGGGGGCGACCCTTTCCCTCAGCCGTTCAACGCGGTTTGACATTCCTCAACAGCCAGCAGACACACAAAAGGGAAGCGCGCGCACCCAGCACCCAGCACAGCACAGTACAGCACAGTGTTTCGAAGAGCACTTCGCTCTCACACGACAGCGACACAGCTATCTGCGGCAACGGCCGTTTCCTTTACAAGCGGCGCAAGGAACGGCGGCGCGGGAGCTCCACAATTCCAGCTCGCCGGCAGGCCGCAAAAACGGCACACGGCCGCGCACGTTAAGACAGGTTTGTTGGGTCAGGCGGGAGAGCACGGTGGGCTGACTTGCACACGGTCGCGTGCCGTGCGCCATGCAGCGCCATCCCAAACCCGCCCCGCGGAGGGGAAAAAGAGGAAGAAAAGAGACACGGTGGAAGCCCTCATCCCCACACACCGACCGACCGACATAACCATCGCCATTACCACCATCGACCATCGCTTGCCTTATCATGATGACGTAACTCGTCCTTCGGCGTCACAGTCCAGCTGCCACGTGTCCTGCTGTTTGAGAGTCCGACCGGTCGTGGGATGATGGTGATGGTGATGGAATGGGAAAGAGTGAATGCGGTCATCCGTGACAGGAGGCCGTTTTCGCAACGAACTCGCTACACCACAGTACTACAACACCCCAAAACTTCAAAGAGCTGCGGCCTTGCGATGCCGGGGGCGAGACACATGCACACGCACACACATACACGCACGTCGCCCTCATCTCCATGCCCCCTCACTTCCTTCATACCGTCCTGGTTTTCCCTCTTTTTAAAAGTTATTTCCAGGAATAGGAGCTGCCACTTTGTAGTGGAATGCTGTGTACCGCACAGAAGAAAACACCAAGAGACTGCAGTACACCGTGCGTGACGTGCCCGTACATGTGTCGTACCTGCCACAACGGCGACAGAGTGTAAAATATCTCATCGACATATCTCACCGATGGACGCCGCGACCACCTCACCTCACCCCATCTTACTTATCCCAGCCGATTATCCTACAGGAAGGATCACCCCCTTGAGATCGACCGGAGTATCACAAAGCGAGCGAACGAGCGAGCGAGCGAGCGCGCGCGAGAGAGGGAGCGCATGTGCGTAACGCACACTCCGAACGCAAAGCTGACGCGCCAGGACCGCCAAAACGGACTTAGCAAACAAGACGTCTCCAGTGCAACCCGAGGCCGCAGTACATACCTCTTCTTTTGAGTCCACGCGCGGCGTCAACACCACTCACCGTCACTCACACACACGCTTGGGACTGCTGCTGCACAGAAGACACGCTCCCCAGACGCTCCAACAGTTCCAATACGACACGCCATACACACCCGTATGGGCCGTGGGCCTGCCATCCCTAAGCTTCCTCAGACAACCTGCCTCAGCGCCCGTCGGGATTCATCTCGCGCCGCAATGACCTCCAGCAGCGCTCCCCCCCCCACACCCGCCGACGCTGCATCCATCCATCCATCCATCCATCCATCCATCCATCCACCCCACCCCACCCATCCCCACACGCTAAGGGACACCCCCCGTGCCGCAGGTAACCGCCAACGATGAAGCAATAGCCCGGAGGCATCTGTGCGCTTTATTGCTAGCGACTATGCACGCGTACCAACTGCCGCAAGTAACTAACAAACCAACTGAGACAAGACGGAAGCGTATTATGATATAATATACACGGCGCACACATCAGCATGCGTGGCCACCACAGGCCGCCGGGCCTCCCCCTCTTGAAAATGCAAGGGGACCGGCTAGCGACACAACCGCAACCGTGCAAGCGTTGGTACTGCAATCCCACAACAAGAGATAAGCAAGAGGAGTTTACGACTGTCTACGACTTGTTTTGCTTATAAAGGCACGGAAAAGGGGAAACGTCCGGACGGATATCTATCCGACACAGAAATGAAGTGCGGTAGTAGGGGCCCCAGCGAGGGGCAGAGAGCGAGAGCGAGAGCGAAAGAGAAAACTACTGTTAGCTGGGACTTGGTGTTTGACACAGGACGGCCGAGGCGATGCGGAAAACAGAACCAAAAATCCCAAAACCCGTGCCCCCGTTATTTTCCCCAGCTCCCCAATAGAAACCCTGAAAGCCGACAGCAAACAGAAACGAGGCGAGAGGGCGAATCGACGAAACAGGCAACCCCGCCTGTCCGTCTGTCTGTCTATCTGTCGGTCTGCCTCTTTATTTTCTGTTGCCATTATTAAAAATACCTTAGGGTGCAGTCCTGCAGGCCTTCAAGACAGGCCGCACACACGCGCGGGGCCGCCCAGCAGCCTGAACCCTTCCCCCCTCCCCCATTCAATTCCGCACCGGCAAAGGAACCAGATCTCCTCTTGCGTTGTCGCAACGCTCGCAGGAATGATGACTAGCATAGCATAG